TAGTTTGGGTTCCTGCTCCTCCCTTACAACAAAAACTCTACCAAGCAAGTTCTGTGCTCAAGATGTTTTCACAAATAGCCAATTTAAGTGAAATATTGGAAAATTAGAAAGGGGAAGTTGAATTTATGGGCATTCTCTTTGGAAACATAAGTTCTAAGAATTGTAGCCAGCAGCGTTTTTTATTTCCAGCAGAAATCCCTCATGTAGGCTTTGTGGCAACTCTAAATTAAAATGGTGGGTATCATATACTCTAAAGAAGCTTCATCTGAACAAACATTTAGACAGAAATGACTCCACAATAACTTAGATTAGTAGATCAATTGCTCATCAATATATGCATAATAAGGAACAGAGCCTGTATATTGTGGGGCTGGGGTTCTTGTGAATGGTCATTGCTAGGTAGAGGTAGGTAAGAAATGTTTTTCTTGCCCTCTGAAAAAAAAGTGCCTAATTTCCTGAATGAGATAACATTCAAAATCTTTGTGTACTGAGAAAATAAAAAAACAGTTTGAGTCAATCAGAGCTTATTGTTTCAGTTTTTAAAAGTATTTTGTTTTTCATTTTGGCCTTTTAACTATTTTTTTTTGTTTCAATTTTTGGAAACAGAAGTCCATTTTGTGCAAGAAAAATGGATTTTTGTGTTTTGACTGTGTCAAAAAATATTTCCACAATTTGGAAAGTTTAAAAAGTCTCACAATTTTTTACAAGACTGACACTTTGTTAGAAAAGATTCTGATAGAACGGCATTTTCCCATGAAAAAAATATTTCATGCAAAATGCCCAAACAATTTTACTATGGCTGCACCTTTAATGAACAGTATGATTTCTGGTATAAAAAAAACCTGTATCAAAAACCTCAATTTAGGTCATCAATAAAATATTTCCATTATATACTACAAGTCTTACTAATTTTGAGATTAGTTAAGTGAAATTATATAAAATAAGCATGTCTCAGTTCGTTATCAATCTTATTAAACTGATTCTCATGGATGTGAACTACTCATGGCTTTTAATTTTGTCTTTAAAATTTTTTTGATATTACACCTCCCTCTAGTGGCAGCAAATGGGGAACAACAGTTTCCATAATAACGGCAGTGTTTCTTACAGTTCAAAGAATAGATAGCCTGCTTTCTCTCTAATAGCTTGCTCTCTGCGTGCCTTTTCACAGCATCTGATGAAGTCAGCTTTTGCTCATGAAAGATTATGCATCTCAGATTCAGTTTGTCTATAAGGTGCTTCTCTACCCTGCCTTCTGTCATAGTCCTATTAAGGTTATTGTTTGAAAGCACTGGTTTAAATAGGAAAGAAAGTTTCCCACCCATAACTTCAAAACGAGTTGCTATTTTTACATAATAGCGTATATATTTTATTTTAGTGGTATAATGCTACTGTGGAGGGGTTGAAACAAACCCTAAATTAAAAGAAAAGAGAAACTTTGCTTTGACTTGTTCACTAGGTAACATCACAATAAGAAGTCGTCACAATAATCACCAAAGAGCAATTATCACTGGTCAGCTTCATGGAGAACTTATGCTTTTTGCCCAGGATGCAATTCCTGCTCATTATACCCCTCCTCCTTGCTTACAGCAGGTTTGAATCTGCATCTCTAGGACTTCTCAGTATTGCTTTAGCCACCAAGTTGCAGGCTAGACATTGTCCAGGCCTCCTTTTTGAAGCTAGATTCAGCTGAGAGAGGAAGATCTGAGGAGTAGGGCTGTGCTAAGCTTTGATCCCTGATTTGATTTGGCAGAGATTTGGCCCAATTCAGTGGCTGAATCTCCAAATCCAAATCAAATCAGGAGACCCTTTAATCTCTCCGAATTGAATCAGAACCTTCCAAATTGATTCGGAGAGATTTGGCGATTTGGACATAGACACAGCTTTGAATGTTTTTTCTTCATACCTCAAGGTACCAGGCAGCTCATGAATGCTGTGATGGTGGTGCAGATGGAGCATCCCACAGGAGCACAGGGGGCTCCCCAGTGCACTTGACAGTAGACCTGAAGCACTTCTGGATTTGCTGGGGAGCACGCTGGTGGGCCCCCCCGTTCCCCCTTGGCTTGCTGACTGGTGCCTCCTGGGTCTGGGGGGGCACCTGGGTTCCCTCCACAGCCAATCACCGTGCTGGGGGGGGTGCAGGGGGCCCCCAGCTCGCTCAGCAGTGGACCTGGAAGTGGACCAGAAGTACTTCCAGTCCACTTCCAGGTTCACTGCTGAGCACATGGAGAGGGTATGGAGGTGGGGCCCACACTCCTGTGGGATGCTCCATCCATCCCAGCATCACAGAATTCCTGGTACCTTGAGGTATGTAAAAAAAACATTTAAAGCTGTGTCTATGGCTGAATAGCTATTCTCCGAATCAGCATCAAATCTTCAGATTCAGATTCGGCTGAATCAAATCGGGGCCAGTGATCCGAATCAGCAAATCAAATCACTGTCCTCAATTCAGGCCGAATCTGAATCCAAGTAGAACTTGGCCTGTTTTTCACACCCCTAATGGGGAGCCAGGAAGAAGAGAACTAGCCAGAGGCTTTGTGGCTCAATGCAATGGACAGCCGTCAGAAAAGGGAAAAGATTCTACCCTAATCCCTTGCTCCACGTGAGTCTGAAACATATCCACTGGTCTCCATCTATTTTAGCCAATAAATTTTAAATGCAAGGTACAGTGATTGACCTTCCAGCCTGGCCAGGTAATAAAATGACAAACAGTGTAAGTGGTATTTCTGGCATCTATGTGTCTGGAAAACTGTTTTTGGAGAATAAAATTAAATAGAATTTTCTAATGTCACCTACAGAAAATATGAGGTGATTATTACTTGATTAGAGCAGTAATTTCACTGTCTTTGCTAGGCTGAGTTTCAGTGGATGAGTGGCTCTGAGATTTTATCTGAATATACCCACTCAGATTCTCATGCCCATTGGCAAAATCTACATTAAATGCATGGTTTACAATGTGCTGTGAAGGACAGCTGTGCATGCTGTTGTACCAATTAGAGAATTCCATAATCAGGCCCTCTGATAAAATTACTTTGCTTCCTGCCCTCAGACATTCTAATCTATGGACTTTAAATGAGAGGATGCCAACTGATCTCATCTGTTGCAATGAAACATCAGTAAAAATGGGTACTTCTAAACAGCCAGGCCCCCATCTTTTCCGGGCTTTAAATAGACACCTTAAAATAGTCTGTTTTGTCTATATGAGCAGTTCAGTCCTTGAGTTTTGACATGATTTTCTTTTTGCATACGGACTAACAAGTGTAGTAGAATTCCTAATACCAATAATGCATTGGGACTATAACACAGCACTCTGTTCACCTTAACATGCACTTTGTATCTTCATATTTGAAGACTGATTTTCCAGGACATCTGATTTAGACAGAAAAAAAATGTGTTCAAAAGAGGGCATATTCAAAATGCCACATAAGGACTTTACAGAGCTGGTCAAAAACGAGGGGTTGGTTGTTCAAAAACTGTTATTGAAATGTTATTGAATTTCAGTTGACTGAAATGTCAATAATATTTCTGCATAATGCCCCCACCCTCATTTTGGGCCAACCAACTAAACTGCATGTGCACATGGCAGCCTGGGTAGAGATCGGGCAGCGAAGTGGCATGTAGGGCAGGCAGCAGAAAGCAGAGAAGATCAGTCAGGGACCACAAGGCAGGGAGTAGAAAGCAAAGCAGCATATCAGGAAGAGAAGGGGAGGCTGTGGACTTAATTAGTGGCACACATGCCAAAAAGGCTGCCCCTCACTGCTTTAGCATGTCAGTGATAACATTAAGATAAATAACAAAAGGTTGCTGAAGAAAGAGAGATGAAGAGTCTGATTCCTGTTTAACACTAAGGGCCCATAAAAGGGCCATAAAGTGGGTCTTCGTGACTTTTAGTCTACTTTAGTTACCTTTGCTTCACTTTACCAGTGGATATAGGCTGGCCACTCCTGGATATCAGAGCTATAGTTGTTGCTTTTGCTCCCACAGAGCTCCAGCTATAATCTGGCAGAGTCAGAATTCCTTCAGTCTTCTGGAATTCTGCTCCTTAGGACCAATGACACAACAGTGCCATGTATTTTATGCTGTCTCCATGAAGCTTGTACTGCTGAATGATCCACATGCAACTATCTCTGCTGATGATTTAAGAACTCGTTTCCCTTTATCATTTCTTTTTTCTTTTCCTTGCAGCCTGGTGAACTTAAAGACTGGTTTGTTGGTCGAAGTAATGCTCAAGGAATAGACCTGAACAGAAATTTCCCTGACCTAGATAGAATAGTCTATGTTAATGAGCGAGAAGGTGGTCCAAACAATCACCTAATGAAAAACATGAAGAAGGCTGTGGACCAGAATCCTAAGGTACTTTCTACCAAATCATTAGAATGCCTAGCTCATCTTTTGGGGGGTTTTTAAGGGAAACTTCTTGCAAGCTCTTACATCCAGAAGCCTTATGTTCTTAAATAAATGAAGATATGGTCAGCATTTACATTATTTTGTTTCTATCTTCTGGTTTACATTTACCATTTATATTATTGTGTTTCTATCTTCTGGTTTTAAATTTCTTGGTTTTGGTGCACCATAATTTCTTTTGTTTGGATGTTACTGGATGTTGTTGGATTTCTTTTCTTGAGTGGCATGTCCACGTCTGATAACCCACAGATGATTTTTTAACTCCAAGCTTAATCTCTTTCCAAGGGAAGAGGTCATGGAGTCCTTTTTGATATCTGTGTTTCCTGTATCTCTCTTTTTGATAAGTTGACTTTAAGTGCATTCTGCATGCTGCCAATTCTTCAACGCTACCAGAATTCACTTGCATATTGAAGTTAATTGCATTCTTGGCTATGCATGCATCTAATTTGTGTTTAACAGATAATGTAATACCTAACTGTATATTGTTTAAAATCTCTGGAGGGATTCTGCCTCCATGTGATATTTGCTTGCAGAATTTGTTCAGGAGCTGCTGCTAATGTGGTGGCATTCACCTTTTTGGGGCCAGAAAATGGCTTTTAAAATCTATTGATGAAAAGTGATTACAAACTCTGCAATTGTGATTTTACTTCGTTATAGACAACGTCCAGTGTACAGAGTGCAGTGAATGCTATTGAAATCAATGTTTATTTTCTTTTTTTTCATTTTTCCCATTATATTTCCCGCCCCAAATGGAGTAGGGCAAAGTCAAATACAAACATGCAGTAATATGTGCTCTGATTCTGATGTAAATGTATTATGTTTCACATCAATGTAAAATCCATTGAAGTCAATGGAGTTACTTCAGACTTATGACTATGCAGTGATCTGGCTCCCAGTAAGGCCAATGAAAGATTACTATTAACTTAAATGGATTGGATCACAGATGAATTCAGAAAAAAGCATGTAATATGTGCATAAGTTGTTAGACAGCTGAATATGTTATTACATTGACTATCAAGAGAGAATTGATGTAAATTACTTTTTTTTTTAAATTATAGCTTGCTCCTGAAACAAAGGGTATCATTCACTGGATTATGGATATTCCCTTTGTTCTCTCAGCCAATCTCCATGGAGGAGACCTTGTTGCAAACTATCCATATGATGAGACTCGTAGTGGTATGTGTTATGTACATTGATATATCAAAAGATACAAATTGCATGTAGTTGTCTCTCCTTACATGGGTACCTATAATTCAATTGGTAAATATCAAGTAATTATATAGTAATGACCCATTAATTCCCTTTAGTTTTTTCCCAGATATAATTACAATGTAACTTTGAACTCATTTTTTTGTAACAGAGGGGGTGATTTCAGTGGAAATTCATGGCAAAACTAGTATAATGCAGTGGAAAATCAGATGCATAAAATGTCCACTGTTTGCACTATAATTTTAGTGAAAATCTGTAAAGGATTCATTGGACAAAGCCCAAAATGGTCCCTCCAACAGGATCTCCTTTCTCAAAAGGGAATGCCAGGCTTTGGATACCTATAAGTGAAGATGTGATAGAAACTGTAGACTAAGTCTAGAAGCCCAATGACTTCCTACATGGTTGTAGCAGGGCAATGAGGTGCACTTGTGGAGCAATAAGTAAGGAGCCCAGCTGTGGGTTGCCAGGGTAGCTGGTGGGAGTCAGCTGACCGGAAAGGGCGGGGCCTGGCTCCCATATAACTCCCAGGCTGAGGCCAGGCAGGCAGTTCCCTGCTGGAAGCTGAAGGGGAAGGAGCTCTATGACAGAGATTTATGTTATGGCCTAGGGGCTCGAATTTTCTGTTACTGTTTACAGCTGGTGGTTTGGGTGAGGCTATTAGGGGTTGGAGGAGGCCTCATAGAGGGCCTATGGTAGCATGGGGACCCCGGCGCCTGTGAGGGCCCAGCATTTGGGGGGCCCTGACCCCGGCGCCTGCGAGGGCGCAGCATTTGGGGTGCCCTGACCCCAGCCCAGAGAAGGGGTGTAGAGTCGGAGACCAGGTAAGGCTGAGGTCGCCTGAGCCAGACGGGGGTTTGAGACCCTGAGGAGGAGAGTTGGGGCCAGGTACGGCTACTGCCACCTGAGCGAGAGGAGCCCTAGAGCCAAGGGGGGCAGTATTGGCAGTGAGAAGCCCCGGAGAGGGGACAGTGAGAAGCCCCAGGGAGCAGGGGCAGCATTGACGAATGCCCAGTGAGGCGCCCAGCGAAGCAGGGCCACGGAGAGCCCAGGGAGGACAAGGGGGCCAGAATATAGTAAGGCCCGGACTAACTGATGTGAGTACCATCTGCGAGGCTTGGGCTGCAGTGTAAAGGGAGGAAAGGAGCCGCAGATAGTGCCCCCTTGCATTGGGGCAGTAAAATGGGCAGCCTCCTGCTTAATTAACATCTTCAAATTAAGCAATTAACAACAAGGCATGGCAGGTAAGAAGGCGGCCGGTTGGCTCATAACAGGTGGGTGGGGTCAACAGTAGACGGATCCCGAAGAAACACACCTGTCACGGTGGTACAATACCACAAATTGGTTGCATGAAATTTTAACTCTATTGAAATTAAAGCACTTTGTTCATTGATTCCTGTGGATCCAGGATTACATTGCTTTTATCCCTGACATTTGACTCTTTTTTTTTTTTTTTTT